CCCCAGAAGATGGGAGCGACCTCTTCCTGATCGTGAGCTATTTAAAAGGAGGGACTGCGCCGTATTTCCTACTAGCGCGGAGGAACGGGGGCAGAATCCATTCACACTCCTCAAAGCAGGTAGGCGCTTATGATGGGCAGGCTGAGGGGATTTGGTCAGATACCGCGAACTATTTTCCTTCCGCTCTTTAAGGCTACACTTGGCTCGGTTTGGGCAAAAGACTGGCTTCTAAATGTGTGTGTGTGTGTGTGTGTGTGTGTGTGTGTGTGGTGTGCGCGCCTGCACATTGCTGGGTGTCCACGCTTCTCAGAGAGTGAAATAGCTGGAGCTGGTGCGTCTGGGCGTGAGTGCCTGCCTGCCAGTGTCGGCTGCCGGAGAAGAAAGGGCTGCTGAGATGCTGCACCCTGCACAGCGCTGGGCTCCCACGATTCAGGGCGCGAAGAGCCAAGTCCACCCGGAATGCAGCGCTGCTGGGGATCCAGGCGTCCCCACCCACTGAGCTCCCTCCTCGGCCATCCCTCCTTCCGGTAATCCCTGGGGTCTTTCCCAAGGCCACACTGGGGAGCACCCTCTTTTCCGGCGGGCGCTTCACCACCGACTGCGGAGAGGAGGGAGGTGTGGCTGGGGCAGAGGGGAGGACAAGGAAGAAACGTAGGGGGAGTGGGCTGTAGGGTCCCTGTCTCTGGCGCTGTCGTTCGTGTGCGTCGGGGGATTCTGCACATACAGGCATGTTGGCCTAAGGGATTCCAAGGGAACTTTGGAGCTGCATTATCTGCCTCTGGAGCTTTGCTGGCTCTTGGGGAAATGGTCTGTGTTCTGAGATGTGAGGATATCCTTGTTGGCTCCTCCTTAATGAAGAAGAGGGAGGTCTTATAGCTGGACGATGGCTAAAGAAACCAAATCCGCTCCAGCGATGCTTTTTAAAAAATACAGTATCTGTGCATCCTTCATTCTGTAAACCCCCCTCCCGAAGGATTCTTGTTGCTGTTTGATGAATGGCTTGTGCTGGCAATTCGTATTTCCCTCTCTAGACAAAGTGGCAGCGGTTAGGTTGAGAGCAGGGGTGATCAAATCTAACAAAGAATTTTTTAAAAGAGAGCAATGCATGTCGTCTGCCGTCAGTGGAAAGAAAGTCATGCTTTGCACTAGGTGAGGTTTTAACCTCCCTTAGCCTGGCTCCCTTGAAGGCACCCTATCTCTCTCCTGTTAATCAGCCACTAGTGGTTGTGAATATAACAATACAAACTTTGTCCTGCTGGAGGTGTAAAGACTAAAAAGAGAAAAAAGGATATCAGTGGGAGGTGTAGTGGAAGAAGCTTTTTTAAAAATGACAGATGTGGTGAAGACAGTGCGGGCATCCTGATCATGGAGGAGCTGCCTGAGTAGGTGGAGATTTCTGATTAGATGTGGTTAGCGGCATTGCTTGAGGATCTCCAAATAGGAGCAGTTGAGCATCCACTATCTGGGACCTGTGTGAGGATTTCCTCCAGGAAACAGGGAGCAGTCAGGAGGGAATTATGAAAGCATTCTTCCCGCATCTCACCCCTCACTAACACACACATTCATTTGCATGCTTTCTCTTTCTCCCTCAAAGCTACTCCTGCAGGGGAAAAGAAAAGGAAAGAAAGGAGAGAGGAAAATAATTCTCCATGTTTCGTTCATGTCGTGTAAAGAAGACAAAGCCAAAAGAGAGGTGCTTAGTTTTAGGTTCCTCTTTCAAATCTTCTGTTACTTGGATTCAGCTCTCTAGGTGTGTTAAACTTGCTTAATTCGGAGGCTAGGAGGGTGTGAAAGCAGGGGGAAGCAGGGAGAGCTAGTCCATTTTGGGGGCCTTGTGAGTGACATGGTGAGAGAGGACCTACTTATTTTATCAGCAAGCAAGATGTGTTTTCTGAAATGATTTTCATTTTACAAATTCCGTCTGCTTGAAGGATTTCATTTGGATCTAAGGGGTCTTTAGTTCAGATTTCTCCCACCTCCTATAAAGGAAGCCTCAATGTTTTTTTTTTTTCCCCTTAAAATGGCTATTGTCTTTTATTTAAAAATGGAATAGTTAATTCTTATGGGAAAAAAAAAAAAGGACTGGACAGAGGTAAACCATTATTCACTGTTGAGCTGTGCAGAGATTGCAAAGGATATAAGAGTGACGATCAGACTTAATCTACTCTGTCTTGGAAGCTTGACAGGGCTGAAAGAGGAAAGTAATGAACTAAAAGAATGCGAAGCTGTGCTTTATAGCTACCTGGCTACTACCTACCTACCCATTTACCATTGCTGTTCAATGGTTTCTGCTGTTACGTTTTGGATTAAGAAGAAGAAAACCCATTTGTTGACCATGACAGGAAAGAAAAGAGCGTAGCAGAAACAGTGCTCTAACTCCAAATAAAATGACAAAAGGAAGCTGAGGTATATCAGTAACCCCTACCGGACACTTTTCAGGAATTACATTAATTTCTCTTTCAAGCTCACTATGTTTTGAAAACACACACACACACACACACACACACACAAACCAAAAACATATATTCCAAAAGAGCTTTAGTATTTGTTCACAAGCTATATTTAACATTTTTTTGAACCAGACAGAAATAGACTTTCATTTATCTTGCAGAGTAAATGCATGGTTTCTTCCCTCTTAGTCTTTAATATGTTTCTTTGTCAAATAAATCATGAGAAAGGCTCTGCGGATCCAATGAAGTTATAGTCTCTCTTTAAAAAGCAAGCGAAAGCATTTACGTGGCTCATAGATGTGGTTGTCTCAAAGTAAGTGCATTTTAAGGCTTTCAGATCTGATTTCCATGTTGCAAGTCAGTGAAATGAGCCCTTTCTCCATGACGCCTTTGAATACAGGGTATGTAGGTAAGGGATTCTGCTCTAGCAGCATGGCAGTGAATGACATGCAGACTGAAAGAGAAACTAAAACTGGGAAAAATACAGGTAACAAGAGGATGTTAGAGCCCATATGTTACATGCTTTATATTTTTTGCAGTGTGCGTATGTTGCTTTCAAGTAAAAACTAAATTGTCACCTTTACTTACTAAGAATTTAGGAATGAACATGCCTTTCTTCTTCCTGATCATTTCTTTTTCCTTTGCCTCTAAGGGATAAACGTCTCTTGTTAAAACATCCTCCAACATTGTTCACACTTCATAGTTAGACATTTCATCATAACCTCCCATACCTCCTAGTCAGACCCCCTCATCATAACCTCTGTCAGTCTCCCCTCTGACCAATTTCACTGCTCCCTCTTGTGGCAGATATTCTCCCCGACGCTCTCCAGATTCCAGAATCCTATCCAACATCCCTTAGTTGTCTAGTTCTCAGTAGTCATTTTAGCTAACTAGCTAGTACGTGCCTGAACTAGCTGTTTCCACTCTCTCTGAACAAAGGGATTTCTGTCCTCTGGAGACATATTTGAGATTTAGTGAAAGTAAATGTCAGGTGTTTGCTGACCCATTGGATTGTACTAGATTCTGGGAATCTGAGCTGTCAGTGTCTGCCATTGAGATTTTGGTTTGCACTCAGGGCTAGTCCAGTGGAGCCTCCTTGAGTGCAGTGGGTTTATTTTTAGTTTTCTTTCTTTTGCAAAAGCTATCTCTCCCCCTCGCACCCCCACCATACACACTCACCCACCTGCACCAAAACAATGTGTTTTACACAAAACATACTTTGAACACTTAAACGAATCTCTGATTAGGTTTTTAATAGTATTTGTAAATCAAAGAGCCCATTTTTTGAACTGTAGACCCCTAGAGTAACCCATTTTTGATATGCTTTCACCAAGAGCAGTTTGGAATACAAATGAGATCCCGAGCTATTTCCCAATGTGTTCACTCAACTTGGAAGACAGTTGCTTGTGGTCCTTGCTGCTTGTAGGGTATTTTTGTTTTGTTTTGTTTTGTTTTGTTTTGTTTTGTTTTGTTTTGTAGGCTCTTTGCTGGTCCCTCTGTATTGAACCCTAAATGTTTTATATCTACCTTTGTGATTGTCCTTTGATCTGCAGGAAGACAGTTGCTTGTGGTCCTTGCTGCTTGTAGGGTATTTTTGTTTTGTTTTGTTTTGTTTTGTTTTGTTTTGTTTTGTAGGCTCTTTGCTGGTCCCTCTGTATTGAACCCTAAATGTTTTATATCTACCTTTGTGATTGTCCTTTGATCTGCAGCGTCAGTAGTGTAAAGAACAGCAAGATAGACAAAGGTTGAAGAGAATCACATTTCCACTTTGCCTGAAGTTTTCTAGCCAGTTTCAGAAAGGAGGGGGTGTCATGTAGAAGGAGATAAGCCCTGACTGGATGCTGAAGTAAGGAAAATACTTTTGTGGTCAAGGGCAAATGCAGCATAGACAGAAGTCTATGAAACAATACGAGGGTGGTTAAAACTTTCTCAGCTTCAAAGCATTTATCCTTTGACCAACAGAAGATCTGAAATTCTATGAGAAGCATTCACTTAGAAGGAATTCTATCTAGTAGATTCTGAATAAAATGCAATGATACTACCTGGGAAAGAGCTACCATTAATTCTTACTAACAGTTATATGTGTTCAATTTTTTAAATCTTGGATTGGTTTGTCACAGCAGCTGGCAGAAAGTCCTGAGGGTCTGGGATACAGGAAGATGCAGAGGAAGTGAAAGAAGCTTAAAACTAGATTGCTGACCAGTCAGTGCGCTCCGAGGGCCTTTCTGGTGGGGAAGTGTGCGGGATCTGAGTGCCAGACAGTCTATCTAGCCAGACAGAGGCATGCATAGACTTCCACATTGTAGTTTTACTTCAGGGCCACAAAGGTAATGAGAATGTTCTTCTTTCTTGAAAAGTCAAACTTTGTAAGTCTTCTGAGAAATGGGCAAACCTATTTTACCTAGAGTGAAATGATATTCTTTAAATATTGAATGGATTCTACGGTGTCATTTTGTAATATTCATATCATCAACTTAGAAAACACTAGTGTAAGGCCAATTGAGACATAGTTTATTATACATATACAAGATCTAGGAAAATAAATGTAAATATTAGGGTTCATACTTTTTTAAAAACGTTTTTGCCGTAGGGCACATGCACTCACCCTATGAAGGATGGAAGCAGTGACAGGGAAAGTGAGAAATCTGCCTCCATGTGGAGGGCTACACCACAATCCCTTCTGCTCCATTTTCTTTCTGGGAATTTGGGAGTTCATGCGCACATGCCTGGTATGGTTTTCAAACTACCAGGTCTGGGACTCAAACCACAATTGGCCATGTGGGAGTTCAGCACCTTAACCAACACATCACCTCTTGTGCCCTTGAGTCCATTGTAATTTAAATTTAAAAGATAGAGTAATCACTGTGTAGATGTCATTGCATGTAAAGTCAGACTAATTAGTAAGTCCCTGGTTGGATCTAATTTGAGATGAAGTCAAACAGACAAGGTAGTGATTCAGCAATTTACTTCAACCCAGCTATGATATTTACTGAGCACTAAGTACATGCAAGGGTTTGTCCAAGGGTTAATAAGTGAAGCTGTCCAAAATCCAAGCTCCTTGTACAAAGTGGTTTTCT